AAGGCTATGAACAACGTCATAAATCCGTTGGACATCATTCGCAAACACACTTCGAGCTTTCTTCCATATGTCATAACATGTCTTGTATGTGCGGAAGTGGATCAACAGTTTGGGATCAATGGACTGCCACAAAATAGCAACCAATTGATGGTCGGCTTGAGTCCATTTTTCCCTTTCAGATGCAGTTATCTCATCGACTCTTTTGGTCAAATGTTCGGACAAACCTTGGCCTAAGAACCACATTTCAACAAAAACTTGCCAATCCATGTAGTTTCTGCCGTTAAGTTTTTCAGAAGTTATTTGGGGATTCCCAGAAAAGACAAAGGACACAAGACTCCTGGAAGAGTCAGGAGTCGTGCTGCTTGCAGGAGACATGACGTATACTGACTTGGGAACAATCTGGAATGACTATGATATACGAAGTACTTCCGTATATGCAAGACTGCAAGTCTATAATAATCCGTAGATCAGCACGACATTATAAAGTTACAATATCATTCAGAAAGTGTTTATTACTATCTATATCAGAAATGATTTGGTCAGGCGTGCCTGACATGTCCTGTACAGCCAAGCCTGTTGAGGGGCTTCCTGGTCGAATCTTTTGATGAAATTTTGTGAGAATGTTCTTCATGAAGTACGGGAGCCTGACATGATCATTTCTCCTCTCTATATTTCAATTTTGTTTTGATTTTTTCCAATTTTTAGCGAGTCAACCTAATATAATTGCAACATACAACTCCTTCAACATGGATCTGCCGGCCTCGTCTGTATAAGAACAACTTTTATAATAATAGTATTAATCATACTTATGCTGTCTTTGCTAAGCAGTAGTGCCATTCAAACGACAGAGTTGGTGCTTTCATCTGGTGCTGCTTTATTTCCACACCCCTCTAAGGTAATTCTTTCACATATGTGAACTAAAAATGTATGATGCTCCATGTTTTTAAATTTTCAGAAGAACACCTTCTATATAGTCTCAATGAAATGATGATCAAAGATCCATTGACCACATTAAAGCAATATAAGTAATGCAAATAAATAATAAATTCCAGGCATTTACAGGTGGAGAGGATGCATATTTTTTGACTGATCAGAACTGGCTAGGTGTAGCTGATGGAGTTGGTCAGTGGTCCCTTGAAGGTATTCATTGATAACGTCCTTTGTTGCACACTTTTCTTGTTAGCATTCTTTACCTCAAATCTCCTTTGGATCATGTAATTAAAATCCTATTTCATAATACAATGGGGTGACAAGCCTTAAAAATATTACCAAAAAGCACCAAATGCTCCAACATTTGGCTGATTTGGCTTTTCAGCCAACAATCGTTGTCTTGCCACTTTTTTGGATGGTTCTCATTTTTACAAGCAAGTAGCAATTTTGTCCTTTTTGTAATGCCTCAAATAAAAAAGTTTCATACTCTTTAGGTAATGACACATCTACCAACCATTTCTCCCAATAAACCAAACGCTTTAACCAAGCCAGATTCAGCCATTTTAGTAATCACCAAATGGGCCCTTATTCAATTTCTATCACTTCAGGTATTTATCCAGGGGTATATTCCAGAGAACTGATGGAGTGTTGTGAAAAGCTTATATTGCAGTGTGGCGGTGATTTAGGAATTGGCCCTAAGGCAGTTCTTGAATTGAGCATGGAAAGTGTAGAGTCCCCAGGTTCTTCGACAACTTTGATTGCACACTTTGATGGTCAGGTATAAATCATTTTCTAGGTAAAGGGAGTATAAGGTATTACTAGAACAGTTTTCAGCTTTCATATCATGATAGTTTGGACTAGCAAGCTACAAGAATGATATGGATTAGGGTGTAGTTTGGAAGATCGTAGTAACATATAATGCAATGTAATCAAATACTACCCCCTGCTGAAAAGAAAACATTCATGTTTGACCAAGACACGTCTTTCTAATTTGGTATCAGGTAAAACTACTAATCAAACCAAACACAGACATTACACAGTATACCACTCCATCTCACTCATAAATAGGCCTTGTGTGGGTGAGAGGTACGCTGACCTTACCCCTGCACCTAGGTAGATAGTCTCTTTCTCTTAAGACCCTTGGTAAGCAGTAAGACAATGAAATTTGAAAAGGGAAAACTACAAAAGAACAGTATAAAAAAGCAAATTTAACTTTGGTACAAGGTACACCTAATACATACGGAGTATCATTAACTTTATAGATGTTTTTTTGTAAAACAAGTTTGTTGGTTTAACTGTAACTCTGATTTCATATGTCAATTCATGTTAGCTAACCCAAAACTCTATTGGGACTAAGGTTTGGATGTTGTTGTTAGTGCTGTATGTTTGTTGGATTAACTAATATTCTCTCCATCCATTGAAGAACTTCCAGTTGCGGTTTACGATGGTTGAGACTTGAGATAATAGTATTAATCATACTTATGTTGTCTTTGCTAAGCAGTAGTACCATTCAAACGACAGAGTTGGCGCTTTCATCTGGTGCTGCTTTATTTCCACACCCCTCTAAGGTAATTTTTTCACATATATGAACTAAAAATGTATGATGCTCCATGTTTTTAAAATTTCAGAAGAACACCTTCGATAGTCTCAATGAAATGATGATCAAAGATCCATTGACAACAATAAAGCAATATAAGTAATGCAAATAAATAATAAATCCAGGCATTTACAGGTGGAGAGGATGCATATTTTGTGACTGATCAGAACTGGCTAGGTGTAGCTGATTGAGTTGGTCAGTGATCCCTTGAAGGTATTCGTTGGCTAGGTGTTGGGTAAATTGCTCGAACCTTCGGTCATATCCTTCCAAATGCTCCTCGATTCTCGACTGACGAGCCTCAAAAGAGTCATAGCGGGTGTAAAGCTCATCTTGCTGAGTCTCATAAACATCCATCCTTGTGTGCATGCGGTCCATGGAGTCGATGAGATAGTCAAGGCTCTTTGTCATGGTTCGTCATGGCTGGGCTGCCGGTTGTGGTTGGGCTTCACCCATCTCTTCATTGCCACCCTCATGCTCCTCATCATCCCCTTTTTCCCTTCGGACTCATGTGTTTCCCACCTTTTTGTAATGGAGGGAGATCATAGTGTTTGCATTGAGGACTTGTGACCCGGTTGTGTACTCTACCTCTTCATTTTCAAGGTCAACGCCGAAACTCCTGAAGATCATAGTAAGTAAAAGAGGGTAAATAAAATTTTTGTCACCTTTTTTTGTCTTGCTTACGCTCCTCATGTCCATCATGATAAGAGGGGCCAAAGGGACGCCTTGAATTTGTCTGAGCCCGGTGACCATCTTGTGCAAAAGTTAGAGGTCTACCCGCCAAACAAGGTGTGAGTCACTAGCCCATGGCAAGATGTTGGAGCCAAGAAGGTACACGATTAGTCTTTCCCGAACATTGAGGGCCTTGGCCTTAAGCTCTTCATTGAGGCCGAACAATTGCATTGCCCTTATTTCGTCATAGGTGCGGTCGCTGAGCACCACCTGAGAGTTCATTGAGAAGGGAGTACCTACGTCAACAATGTTGAGTAGGTTGCACAGTTGGCGTTTGCTCACCGTGATCATCGTGCCTTTGACAGTGCTCACGATGTATCCATATGGGTCATTTTTCCTCTCAAATCTCAATGTTTGTGTAGAATTCCTGCACAAGCCGCGGGTAATATGCTCCAGTCAGAGTGAGCATGATAGCCCACCTTAGCATATCAAACGCTTCTGAGATCCGGTAGAGTTCGTTGAGCTGATGATCTACGGTCTTCTCAATAACAATCTTCCAGTTTTTCCTCTTCTCATACCACGCTTCATTCTCCGGGGAGGTGAAACGGGGTACGGAAGAAGAAGAGGAACTAACACTATTCTTTCTTTTGGGAGGCATTGACCTGCATAATTAGTTTAACACATACGCAACACGACATATATTCATCAATTCAAGGTAATTTAAAATTTAAAATAAAAAAAAAACAATTTCATCAAATTTCATGTTCATACACAAGTTTCTTGCAACAATTATGTTTAGAAGACTATATATCAACAAAAAGTAATATCAGTATCCTTCTAAACATCAATTTTATAGAGCAATTCATTAATGAACAAGAAATTTGAAATTAGGATTCTTGGATTTTTTTCAAGAATTTCCCTTAATTTTGAACTTTAATCTCAGAAGTTTTGGCAACAAACAAGTTTATATACATCACATGAGCACAAGGAATCAATTTTTATCAATGATAAACATCTATTTTGCCAAAAATTGAAAGAAAGAAGAGATTTCAAATTTTGGGGAAATTTGGGTTTAAAAGCCAAAATACCTTGAATTGATGGTTTCTTCTTGATTTAGAGCTTTGAGGAGGGTCGTGTGATGTTGTGTAGGCCTTGTCGTATAGTTAAAGATATAACCGGGATCGACGAACATTTCATTAAGTGGATAAAAGTAAAACCAAGTCTTCATCTCTATTAACTAAAACACATAAGTCGTTAATCTTAGTGTTTAAATACATTTAAATTCATCAACAATCATAAAAACCCTCCTTGTTACTATTTAATTAAAGAGAAATAATCTTTTCCTTGTGGATATGAACCTTACAACAGTCATTTCCGGAATGGAGTCCAATTCCAACCGCGTAACGACAGGCGTGATGTCATTCCTCCGGCTACCTCTAGAATTAGAAGCGATTGACACCGCTGACCAGACTTGGGATCGGAGCAGATCGTTCTCCTGTTGAAGGTGGGCCATTCGTTCCGCGACCTCTCGTCGGATTTCTTCCTTTTCCGATTCTAGCTGCGCATGGAATTCCATCAACAAAGGGTTGTCATCGGCCATGGTCAATGATCTTTCTCTTGCACGATGCTTCAAGGTGGGCGCCAAATTGTTTGAGCAAGAATTAATTATTCTAATAACAATCTAATAAATTTGAAAAGTGAATCGCACAAGAAAATATATAATAACTAGTAATTCGAAAGCAATAGTATTGATGGAGTATTAACTCCTAGATTCTAGAGAGAAGTGAGAGCTAGAGAGAGAAGTAGTATATTTGCTTTGTATTAGTGAATTCTGAACCCTTACAACTACTCCCAAGGGGAGTATTTATAGAGAAAATTAGGGCTGGGCTTCCAAGTCTTGGGCTTGGGAGGCCCATTTACAATAGGGCCACTAATGGGCCGGATACAAAGTGTATAGAAATGATAAGTATAAAATCTCGTTCTAGAGGCTATCTATGGCCGATGAGGGCATGGCCGATGAGGGCATGGCCGATGAGGTCACCCGGTTCTCCTGACTTCTGGATCATATTCTGGGTGGCCTTCTTTCTGGCCGATGAGGGCTTGGCCGATGAGAGCATGGCCGATGAGGGCACCCGGTTCTCCGGGCTTCTGGATCATATTCTGAGTAGACCTTTTCCTGGCCGATGAGGGCATGGCTGATGAGAGCATGGCCGATGAGGGCACCCGGTTCTCCGGGCTTCTGGGTCATATTCTGAGTAGACCTTTTCCTGGCCGATGAGGGCATGGCCGATGAGAACATGGTCGATGAGGGCACCCGGTTCTCCAGGCTTCTGGATCATATTCTGAGTAGATCTTTTCCTGGCCGATGAGAGCATGGCCGATGAGGGCATGGCCGACGAGGTCACCCGGTTCTCCTGACTTCTGGATCATATTCTGGGTGGCCTTCTTTCTGGCCGATGAGGACATGGCCGACGGAGGTACCACTTGGTAGTCCTTGCTTTTTATTGCTTTCTGGATGATTTCATGCATGTGGAGGCCGATGTAGTCCCCCAGTCCCCCACTCCTCGAGGCTCATGTAGTGAGGTGAAGAGGAGTAGAGCAATACACGTTTTCAATAGGGGGCCGAGTGTCGACACCTTTTGATCCACAATGGGGCGGTGCCTCGTTAAAAACCTCATTAGGAAAACCCCTGTGGGAAAAAATCCTAATGAGGGAAAAAGAGCACACCGGATCCCCCAAAATGAACTCCAAGGGGTGAACCCTTCGGCCTAGGTGTGGAGCTGAAGCGGTGTCCGTCTGATGAGGGGACGCCCGCCTGGAGGTGAGGACGACGACGCTGATGAGCCGGTCCGAATATGAGGACGAGGCGATGGATGCCTGTCTGAATGTGAGGACGACAATGGTAATGATCCATGCGTCATATGAAGGCGACGGTCGCTGTCCAGGAAGGGAATTGCGAGCCCGGTCGCTATAACAGTACCTCGGCGTTGGGAGCCGATCTCGAAATATGAGGACGACGGCACTGGGGGGCCGGTCCGAAATCCATGCAACGGTCGCCATCCGGTAAAGGAATGGCTACGACCGGTCTTAAGATAGAGCATCACACCATGGCCGAGGGGCTGGTCGTGATGTGAAGACGACGGCGATGAGGAGCCGTTCCTACAATCCATGCAACGGTCGCCATCCGATAAAGGAATGGCTAAGACCGGTCTTGACATAGATGATCATGCCAAGGCCGAGGGACCAGGCGTGACTTGAGGATGACGGCTATGATGAAGCCGATCCAAGTAAATGATGACGAGGCGTTGGTGAAGTCGTGCGTCATGTAGTGGCGATGGTCACCATCCAGGAAGGGATGGTGAGCCCGATCGCTGGCTCAAGACTCTCGGCGCTGAGGAAGCCGGTCTTGAGATAGATGATCATGCCTTGGCCGAGGGGTCGGGCATGATTTGAGGACGACGGTGCTGATGAAGCTGGTCCAAATAAATGATGACGAAGGCATTTGATGAAGCCGTTCGTCGTGTAAACTCAAGGCTCTCGGTGTTGAGGATACCGGCCTTGAGATAGATAATCACGTTGAGGCCGAGGGGCCGTTCATTTTGAGGACGAGGGTCGCCATCCAGGAAGGGAATGGCGAGCCCGCTCGCTGGCCCAAGACATTCGGCGTTGAGGAGGCCGGTTTTGAGACGAAGGATCACGTTGAGACCGGGGGGTCTTCCGTGATCTGAGGACGACGGCGCTGATGAAGTCGCTTCTCGTATGAAGGCGAGGGTCGCCATCCAGGAAGGGAATGGCGAGCCCGCTCGCAAGCTCAAGACGCTCGGCGCTGAGGAGGCCGGTCTTGAGATGAAGGATCACGTTGAGACCGGGGGGTCTGCCGTGATCTGAGGACGACGACGTTGATGAAGCCTCTCCTCATATGAAGGCGAGGGTCGCCATCCAGGAAGGGAATGGCGAGCCCGCTCGCTAGTTCAAGACGCTCGGCGCTGAGGAGGTCGGTCTTAAGATGAAGGATCACGTTGAGACTGGGGGGTCTGCCGTGATCTGAGGACGACGACGCTGATGAAGCCGCTCCTCATATGAAGGCGAGGGTCGCCATCCAGGAAGGGAATGGCGAGCCCGCTCGCTAGTTCAAGACGCTTGGCGCTGAGGAGGCCGGTCTTGAGATAGATGATCACGCCTTGACCGAGGGGTCGGGCATGATTTGAGGACGATAGTTCTGATGAAGCCGCTCCTCGTATGAAGGCGAGGGTCACCATCCAGGAAGGGAATGGCGAGCCTGCTCGCTAGCTCAAGATGCTCGGCGCTGAGGAGGCCGGTCTTGAGATGAAGGATCACGTTGAGACCGGGGGGTCTGCCGTGATCTGAGGACGACGACGCTGATGAGGCCGCTCCTCCTATGAAGGCGAGGGTCGCCATCCAGGAAGGGAATGGCGAGCCCGCTCGCTAGCTCAAGACGCTCGGCGCTGAGGAGGCCGGTCTTGAGATGAAGGATCACGTTGAGACCGGGGGGTCTGCTGTGATCTGAGGACGATGGCGCTGATGAGGCCGCTCCTCCTATGAAGGCGAGGGTCGCCATCCAGGAAGGGAATGGCGAGCCCGCTCGCTAGCTCAAGACGCTCGGCGCTGAGGAGGCCGGTCTTGAGATGAAGGATCACGTTGAGACTGGGGGGTCTTCCGTGATCTGAGGACGACGGCGCTGAGGAGGCCGCTCCTCCTATGAAGGCGAGGGTCGCCATCCAGGAAGGGAATGGCGAGCCCGCTCGCTAGCTCAAGACGCTCGGCGCTGAGGAGGCCGGTCTTGAGATGAAGGATCACGTTGAGACCGGGGGGTCTGCTGTGATCTGAGGACGACGGCGCTGATGAGGCCGCTCCTCGTATGAAGGCGAGGGTCGTCATCCAGGAAGGGAATGGCGAGCCCGCTCGCTAGCTCAAGACGTTCGGCGCTGAGGAGGCCGGTCTTGAGATGAAGGATCACGTTGAGACCGGGGGGTCTGCTGTGATCTGAGGAGGACGGCGCTGATGAAGCCGCTCCTCATATGAAGGCGAGGGTCGCCATCCAGGAAGGGAATGGCGAGCCCGCTCGCTAGCTCAAGACGCTCGGCGTTGAGGAGGCCGGTCTTGAGATGAAGGATCACGTTGAGACCGGGGGGTCTGCCGTGATCTGAGGACGACGGCGCTGATGAGGCCGCTCCTCCTATGAAGGCGAGGGTCGCCATCCAGGAAGGGAATGGTGAGCCCGCTCGCTAGCTCAAGACGCTCGGCGCTGAGGAGGCTGGTCTTGAGACGAAGGATCACGTTGAGACCGGGGGGTCTGCCGTGATCTGAGGACGACGGCGTTGGTGAAGCCAGTCGTCTGAAGACGAAGGGGGCGGAGCCGGTCCTATGATGAGGACGGTGAAGCCGTACCTATAATGAAGGAAGACGTTGAGCGCTCGTCTGATCCGCATATATGATCTTGCTTCGTCCATAATGCATAGTATTTGCCTGATATGTACTTAGCCAAATATGTGGCTTGATTTGTGGGGATTTCATTTTTATTGCTCGAGACCGGCGAGTGCTCGGTCCTCGGCTTCCCTCTTTTGATTTGTGGGGATTTCGCTCGAGGCCGGCGAGTGCACGGTCCTCGGCTGTCCCTCTTTTAATTTGTGGGGATTTCGCTCGAGGTCGGCGAGTGCACGGTCCTCGGCTGTCCCTCTTTTAATTTGTGGGGATTTCGCTCGAGGCCGGCTAGTGCACGGTCCTCGGTTGTCCCTCTTTTATTTCTTCCTCTACTGCTATGAGCGAGGAGTGGGGGTCCTTCTTTCAGGCTCGACCGAGGGGGTTGCTATTCCCTCGGCCGATAGGGAGTCCAGGAGGGCAACTGTCCGGCCTCTGGCGCTGGCGCGTCCCTAGACCTTGGGGGGTCCCGTCGTCTATTTATGGCGTGGGCTAGGCTTTTGGTCGGTTACCGACGGATGCCGTTTCCCAACCCCAAGTGTGGGGATTTTGTCACCTCGGCCATTCTTTCAGGCCTGTCGTAATGCGATTTAGTGCGAAGACGACGCGGTGAGCTTCCCATTTCAAGACGTGGGCCGTTTGCGGGCCCCTCACCCTGGAACATCGTCGGCCATGCCTGAGCGTTTCGCTCGAAGGGGCCAGGACGATGTGCTGTTTTGTGTGGCGTCGTCGGCCATACCTGAGCGTTTCGCTCGAAGGGGCCGAAGCGACGTGCTTTGTTGTGTGGCATCCTTTACTTAAACTTTACAAGAAATAAGCAGAACACAATAGGTGCGTTGTTTATGGCAACGGCTTTTATTAGGGTCAGTGGCTCGAGGCCGAGGGGGTAACCTTCTGAACAACTCGTACAAGAGTTAGCTTCCCAATGAGTTTCTGACCTTGGGGTGGGGGCTCTGCCGTCGGCACCCTCTTCGGATTGCTGGTAGAACTTCACCATGGAGGCCCAGCCGTCGGCCGTGCGCCCCTTCGAGGAAGGACGCAGTCAGCGGATGTGACGCTTCTTCAGTTGGGGCTCCTCGAAGTCCTCGTCATCGCTGAGCTTCCCAATTTCATGCTTCTTCGTTGAGGTGTCCCCTTCCTGATTGCCGGCGGAGTTCCTTGAGGTAACTTTGACAAATTGGTGGAGTTCACCCCGTTGAATCAAGCGCTCAATGGCTTTCTTCAGCGCGACGCAGTCGTCTGTATTGTGGGAGGTGTTCTTGTGGTAACGACAATAAGTGCCACCCTGGTGGACAGCGTAGACTTCAGTGGCTGACCGGGGATCTTTAGGGATGAGACCTTGCTCCTCCGCATAGTCAAAGATGGTATCCACCGAGTGCGTGAGCGTAGTCCTTGGGACGTCCGTCCTTGGCTGCCATGGGCGCTCCTTCCGATTTCGGCGGGCATGGCCCCCGGCCGAGGATGCGTTTGGAGCCGACGCCTCGTCTGACCTCTTTGATGGTTGGCCTACATCCTTCTTGCGGGAGTGGAGCTCATCGGCGTCAGCGTACAAGCTCCCTCGTTGGAGTGCCTTGGTGTATGACCTTGGCGGGTCAGTGATGAGGCTCCTCGCATAGGGGCTGCTGCGGAGAACACCTTGGAAGAGGACGAGGAGGGTGCGCTCATCGGCACCTTCAACCTCGTCTGTCTCCTTCGTCCATCGGTCGATGAAAGACCGAAGTGATTCATCGTGTTGCTGCTTGATGGAGAGGAGGTGGGAGAAATGTTTTTTCACGCGTTTCCTTCCGGCGAAGTGGGTGAGGAAGCGTTGGGCAAGATCCTGCCACGAATCTATGCTTCCTTCGGGGAGCGCGTTGAACCACTCGTACGTTGGCCCTTCAATAGTGGAAAGGAACCAACGGCAGAGGTAGTCATCTGATGCGTTCACCATCAGCATGTTGTTTTGATAACGGCTGAAGTGCTCCTGGGGGTCAGAGCGGCCGTCATAGGGCTTGATGGCATTCCCTCGGTACTTCTCGGGTATTGGGGCCGAGAGCACCCTCGTGGTGAAGGGAGTTTTTGTTCTGATTTGGATGATGGGGTCACCACGTCCGTCGGCCAGCTCCCTCTCCAGGGCGCTGACCTTAAGCATGAGTGCGTGGTAACCTGGACCCTCGGATGAGTTGGCCGTAGGGATGGTGGCCGCTTGTCTAGCCTCCATCTGGGCCAGTCTCCTTTCCAGCTGGGCGATGACCTCGTCCCGAGGGTCCTTGGCGGCCGTAGTGGCGCCTTGCTGGTTGCGCACGCGAGCTTCTTGAGTCGTGTTGATTCGATGACGCGCATTGTCCTCGTGCAATTTTCCTTTGCCTTTGTCGAGGCGGGGCCGATCCGCTGTCCGGGATACGGACCCCAAGCTTTTCCTTGGTGAGCCAGGCTCACGTTCACCAATCCGTCCCGCCATCCTCTCCGAAGCAGGCCGACGACGCGTGTCACCTAGCCTATTAAAGGCTGAGGCTTTTCCACGCGCTGGGGCCGGTCCAGCTTAAAGTGGGGAAGCAGGGTGGGAGTGGGATGACGACGTGTCCTGGGGCACCACCCCTTCGTCGTTGCCCATCCTGATGGCCAATGGCTGGGGATGAGGAGGCGGTGTAGTGTTCTCCCCAGTCCTTGGCATGAGTGCTCTGAGGACGGTGGGGTTCTGGGCCAAGCTGGCGATGATGGCCGAGAGCGCGGCCTGAAGCTGAGGGTCAACGGCAGGAGAGGCCGGTTGCGCCGAGGCATTGTCACCTTTCTCTGCACGCTTCTTGTCCAAGCCGATGCGGGCGTCAGGGGCGCCGCCGTTGAGCTTGTTGCGCAGGTCACCTGCGAGGTCGATGGCTTCCTGGAAGACATCCCCCTCGGCGGCCTTGTCGGCCGTGGCGTCCTCCTCGTGTTCCCTGTTCTCCTGATCCTCAGGGATGGCCTTGCTGACGAGGTTGCGGTTTGACCTAGTTCTTCCCATGATCAGTGGTTAGCTGTGCTTGGTAGCGACGAAGGATGCTAACTTGATTGTTCTAGCTCTCGACGAGAGCACCAAATGATGGAGTATTAACTCCTAGATTCTAGAGAGAAGTGAGAGCTAGAGAGAGAAGTAGTATATTTGCTTTGTATTAGTGAATTCTGAACCCTTACAACTACTCCCAAGGGGAGTATTTATAGAGAAAATTAGGGCTGGGCTCCCAAGTCTTGGGCTTGGGAGGCCCATTTACAATAGGGGCACTAATGGGCCGGATACAAAGTGTATAGAAATGATAAGTATAAAATCCCGTTCTAGAGGTTATCTATGGATGACGAGGGCATGGCCGATGAGGGCATGGCCGATGAGGTCACCCGGTTCTCCTGACTTCTGGATCATATTCTGGGTGGCCTTCTTTCTGGCCGATGAGGGCATGGCCGATGAGAGCATGACCGATGAGGTCACCCGGTTCTCCGGGCTTCTGGATCATATTCTGGGTGGCCTTCTTTCTGGCCGATGAGGGCATGGCCGATGAGAGCATGGCCGATGAGGGAACCCGGTTCTCCGGGCTTCTAGATCATATTCTGAGTAGACCTTTTCCTGGCCGATGAGGGCATGGCCGATGAGAGCATGGCCGATGAGGGCACCCGGTTCTCCGGGCTTCTGGATCATATTCTGAGTAGACCTTTTCCTGGCCGATGAGGGCATGGCCGATGAGAACATGGCCGATGAGGGCACCCGGTTCTCCGGGCTTCTGGATCATATTCTGAGTAGATCTTTTCCTGGCCGATGAGAGCATGGCCGATGAGAGCATGGCCGACGAGGTCACCCGGTGATCGTGGTACCTTCTGTTCTTCTGAGTATGTGGGTCTTGGGGCCTAGACCCATATACTCCATCAAGTATATTGATGAAATTTACTATGAATACAAGTGTGTTGTTGAGTTTTCTATCAAGAATCATCTCACTTTCCTCAGTCGATCTTGTTCTATTTAAACTAAAATCCTCTAGCTAATGGTCTAATTGTCCACAGGAAAAGCTCCCCACTTCCTCCTTTTATGCAGTTGGTTGCTCATTCTTATTCGAATTTGAACTCATCCCCTGCGGCCTGCTTTTTCGTTACTTGGGCTGCAATCCTTCACGAGAATAAATTATAAGAACCTGTAAAACATTCTCCTAGGCATGGACCACCCGCATCGATAATTTTTGGCCCAACATACATGTGAGAATAACCGGTGAGAATAAAAATATCCAATGAAGTTCATAAAATAAAGGCGAGAATCACTTTATAATTATTTAAAATATTTGGGCAAAAGTAACAACACGAGTATCAGATAAAAAGAAAAAACATTACTAAAAAAAGTTTCTCGTAGAACAATGTGAAACAAATCATCAATAATCGCTTCATAGGCAACTTTCTTTCGAATAATAAATATGACAAACAATAAAATTATCACATATAACAACACTGAACTTTCTTTTGAAAGGATAAATAAAAAAATATTACTATATATTGAATTCATAAGTTGAGAATGATTTATTGATCGCTAATGGGAGTCTAACGTTTGAAGATTCGAAAGAATGAAGGTTTTCAAAGAGACAAAATATTTGACCGCCAAGAAGACGCGCGCAAGAAGTCTGCCAATTGGACGTCCTCTAAAACTACTACTAGGAACTCAGATATAGTTTATTGAAATTTGGAAACAAATAAATAATTGGGATGAAATTTGAGAGAGATAGGCTCGAAAATAATTATATAAATTTGTTATGTTATAATTAAAATGAATAAAAAGCCTTAAAGGCTAAATAAATGTGAAGACTGAAGAGACGTGTCTTTTATTGATGCAGCAACAATTGTATTGCTTTTAAAAACTACATCCGATCCTACTTAAAATTAATGTATATTTTCTTTTATAAACTTGACTCTGTTTAAGACTTTTTATTTACATTTTAAATTTTCAAAATGTCAACAACTCAACATAATTAAACATTAGACCTAATTAATTGAACCTAAAAATATAATAAAAAAAGAAGTCTACTCACACTATATATAAAGAAAAAAATGGGCATATTTTTTGTTCTATTTTTTTCGGGCCTAAGGCAGTCGCCCTTCTTGTCCCCCAGAACCGGCCCTGGATGAGACAGAAGTGTAGGCGCAATATTTTGTAACAAGTTCTACAGAATTGATAGCCCATAAGGGAAGCGACACAATGAGCTAAAGAAAATGGTTGGCAAACAGTTATCATTGAATCAGGCGCTCAACAAATTAAGAATAGTGTACAACGATCAACGAATTAGGTCGAGTGGTGGGAGATTTGGAACAATGGACCAAGTTTCGAATCCCCGCAGCGATCGAGTGGAGGTCACAGAATCTGAAATAAGGTTGGGCCTCTGATGCGCACGGGTGTATGGACCTACTGCCATTCTGCTGACTGAGTCACCGTGACTAACCTCTCCATCATCCTGTCCGGTCGGGGTGGGAGGCTCCTGAAGTGGGAGATTACACATTTTGGAACAATCAACCAATAAGGTTGCACATGCGTTACCTAAGCAAGCTATTTGTGAGTTCGATACTCTGATTATTCTTGATTTATCTGAGATTCAACCATTTTGTATTCGTGATATCCTCTTGAGGGATAATTAATGAATTTATGTTTATTTAAAAAAACTAAACTTGCCTGATGGATTGATACATAATTTTTGTAACCGAGAAGCGAGTTCATTTTGTTTTATACTTAAATCATTGGAGCATGTAATTGTTTATTGTCATTTCTATAATGTTGATTCCTATTGGTTGACACGTGCTAATGAATACGTAGTATTATCTATTTTTTTTGTCTCTAGAATAATAGAACGACAAATGTAATTGCAAGACCGAGATGGGAACGGGAAAAAAAGAGAGACCTGATATTAATGAAATTTAGAGATGCAAGGTTGGATAATGTATTCAAGTTTCAGTAATTATATGAGATGAGATAGATAGCTTAACGGATAATATCGAGGGAAAAGTACAGAAAAAAGATACTTGTGAGTCATGTGTTTCATTTTTTATCAAAGTGGTTCAAGTGTTTGAATTCCGTTATCACAAGAGGTTCACGCCATTAAAAACATCTTAGGAAGACGGTTAATACTACCTCCGTTCTTAAATAAGTGCAACATGTGAAATTTTACACTATTCGCATGTTCTACTTTGACTGTTTTTTATTTATTGATGTATTAATATATTTTTTTGAAAAATATATTATTAAATTTGTCTCATTGTAAATTTTCAAAAACTAATTTTTTTAAATTTTTTACTAATAGAGAATTATATATATTAATGGTCAAAGTTGTGTCTCGACAAGTGTGAAATATTGACTGTTACACTTATTTAAGAACGGAGGAAGTAGTAACTCCAATTTCCAAAACTAGCCGGAAAATTAAAAGCAAAATACTGGAATGTTCGCCTCAACAAGATGATCATTAGACCATCTTTTGTTTTTGTTTCCAGCCACCTTTGTCACCGGAATGTCCACTGAAAAAGTGATATTAGCGAATTCATTTTTAAAAAATATTCCGAACAGATCCAAGAAATCCAAAGACAAAGGTGGTTTGGAAATCATCTTGACGAGACGCACTTTCCGATATTTTTTTTTTTAATTTTCCGGGCACATTTGGAAATCGGAGTTACCATTAATCATCTTCCTCGGGCGTTTTTAACGACGTGACCCTCTTGTGATAACGGAATTCAAACACGTGAATCATTTTGATAAAAAATGAAACAGATGACCCTATCTGAAAGTGGCTCAACCACAAGTACTCTTCCCTAATATCAATTAAGTGGTAATTAATTGAGTCAATTTCCTAAATAGGAGTAAAAAAAATTTGAAATTCCAAAATAGGAGTATCATGTTTTTTATTCCCTAAATAAGAGTAAATTTCTGCCAAGTTTGGCATTACTAGGCTTTTAAACATGACATTTTTTCCAAACTTGGCAGATTACTCTTATTCAAGGAATAAAAAACATGATAATCCTATTTTAGAATTTCAAAACATTTTTACTCCTAAGGCATTTTCTATAATTGATACAAAAAGAGATGACTAACAGCCTTCAACAATGATAAAAGCAAAACGACAAAGAGAATAAAACTATTTTTCCTCTCAACCAATTGTAGAAATGTGGTTATCTATCAATCCATTGTACACATGAAAAAGTAAATGAAGAGTTCATAAACCAATTGTTGGAAGAGGGTTCGGGCCGGATTCGGGACGGGCTTTTTATAAATTTTCTGCCCATTATGTGTGGGCGGGCCTGACCCGGCCCGCAAAAACGGGCCTAACCCTATGTCCATACCTGCCCATAAGAGCGGGCCGGGTAGTCCACCGGGTAGCCCGGCTCGGGAATACTTTAATTTTTTCAATATTATATGATTTTTTAAATACTTTAAAAGTAATACTACAACATTTAGAAAATAATTAATACGCTTATAATGTTTATAAGTCTTTCACCACATACAAAAAATACTTACACAAAAATAATAATGAGAAACTATATCTAAAATTTAAAATTTAAGCACAAAGTGTTATCTTTAAGTACAAAAATAGATATTATATTGGTTGGGCTAGTTGTTAAGAACTAAAAATTTAAATTTAAACATAATAAACTATAAATATGTATAAAGAAAAATCAGTAAATATAAATATACATGTGTATATGCAAATAAATAAATAAATTAGTGTATATATAAATATATATATTTATATATACTAAATGTAGCGGATCGGGCTTATCGGCCCGAACGGGCCTATACTCTAACACAAGCCCGCCCATATCTTATTGCGGACCGGGCTTGGGCCGGACGGGTGGGTAAATATATATGCCCAAGCTCACCCATTTGTGCGGGCGAGCTGGGCGGGCCGGGCCGGCCGGCCCGATTTTGTCCAGGTCTATTAACACGTAACTAGTAATCTAGTATAACAGGAACAAGAAAAAAAGTAAAAGAGATTCATAGGTAGTGTGACTTTTCAGCTTAGGAAATAATGTTTGGTTCGTAAGTTCATCATTTATTTCATGTCTATTTCCAAAACATACCAAACATGCTGGGGGCATTATGGCATAGTAGAGGCATGCTGTGATCCACCCAATTTTGTTTTTTTATTATGGTAGAACAACATCCAAATATGCTGTGATCCGCCCATATCTTATTGCGGGCCGGGCTTGGGCCGGACGGGTGGGTAAATATATATGCCCAAGCCCACCCATTTGTGTGAGCGAGCTGGGCGGGCCGGGTCGGCCGGCCCGATTTTGTCCAGGTCTTTTAACAGGTAACTAGTAATCTAGTATAACAGGAACAAGAAAAAAAGTAAAAGAGATTCATAGGTATTGTGACTTTTCAGCTTAGGAATAATGTTTGGTTCGTAAGTTCATCATGTATTTTATGTCTATTTCCAAAGACCAAAACATACCAAACATGCTGGGGGCATTATGGCATAGTAGAGGCAAGCTGTGATCCACCCAATTTGTTTTTTATTATGGTAGAACAACAACATCCAAGCCTTAATCCCAAAAGAATTTGAGATCGACTAACATGAATCGATCTGTGTTTTTTTTATATTTTGATTCATATCATGTGACTAAGTGATACCGTTGGCTGTCACGCGCCTACCACAACACTCTCTTCCTTTATCCTAGCTTGAGACAGATATGATACCAAAAAAATGATCTCATGACGAAGTTTCTTTATTATTATCATACATGTATAAAAATGTGTATAAAAGTTTGTCTTTTTTTTTGCATCGGCCTAGTCCACTTTATATCCTGGCTATGTCACTCTGCATTCTGCAAGCATAGTAATTGTTTTACTTTAATGAATAAATAAATTTGTACTACTAAGCATTCTTCCCAAATAAGACAATAGTTAGTTTTATTATTACTATTGTTACTATTATTATGAATACATTCCATTTTTTGTCCTACGAATTTTAGGTCAATTCCACATTTAGTCCGCATCTTTTACTTTGTACACTTTTGATACATGACTATTGTGTTTTCATTTATATATGGTCCTTCCGGCATTGTTTCCGATGGTTAATATCCCCGGAATAGGACCACAAACGGTTTAAAAACATTTACTCAAGTCCCAAAAATGGATAAAGTAAAAAACGTGGACTAAGGGTGGAATTGAAACAAAATTTGTAGGAACTGAAATTAATTCTTATTATTATTACATTACCCCTAATTGTCAGGCTGTCAGTGACTATTGTTTTGAACTAGAGAAACAATAACAGCCACATCATCATGTTTTCCACCACTCTGGCCCACATATCCAGCCAGCTGGGCTGCATCAGAAAATGGGCTTTTCCTTCCGCAAGCTGCGCTTCCCACCTCTTGCGCCCTTGTACCTAATGCCTCTGCAATTTCCTGTGACAAGACAGAGCATACAAGAATGCTTTGAAGATTATATATATAGAGAGTCATTCTCCTGTCCAGCAGCTTTCCGTCCGAACGCCGTCCGAACACCGCCGTTTGGGTGGTTCCCGGTGGAAGTTTTTGTTGCAATTTTTTGAGCATGTTCCTCGTCAAGTCTAGTTTATATACATACCAAATTTCAGTTTAAAATTCGATCGGGAAGGCAGTCAAATAATTTGTTGAAGTTAACTGCGCAAAATTGTACATAGAAAAACGCAGTCAACATCAAAAAATGATTTGAATGCCTTCCCGAACGAATTTTGAGCTGAAATTTTTTGTGGATAAACTAGACTTGATGAACAACATACCACAAAAATTTCATCAAAAAATTCAACCGGGAACCGGCCCAAACGGCGGTGTTCGGACAGCATTCGGACCGGGGGCTGCTGGACCTGAGAATTTCTATGTGTATACACACACACACATACATATACATACATACATATATATATATATATGTATATATATATATATATATATATATATATTGGGAATAAGGTTTGGATGTTGTTGTGGATGTTGTTGATATACGGAGTATATTTCAGCTTTTAATGCATAAAAAGAAAAAGAAAGTTCTCATGAAAGGCTTTTGTGTGAGAAGATATAAATGCAGGCACCTTGGGTGTTCTATTTGCTTTCAATGAATTGATCACAATTGATGCTATTTCTTGTGCATACAAATTGTCAAAAAGACCATCAGTTGCAGTGACCACAATGTCCCCCTCTTCTAACTCACTCATGTATTCCTGATGATGCACAAAAAAGAAGACAATCATAACAACTAATAGCTCAGTGAACTGGATATACATTTTACGTATCTTCTAAGAATATGGAGATATGAATATAACCTAGAAGATATGAATATCACCTAGATAGTTATGATCAAAAGTTATTAGACAGATTAATGCATTCATGTGTTTGGTGTGGCTCAGTCAATATTGTACATAGGGCCCTCCCTATTTCCCTGTACTTGAGTCTTAACACGTTTCCAAGGTAATACAGGTTTACTGTTTTTATGCATAATAATGCACAAATAATTATTACCTCCACAATTACAAAGGGATTGTCACCGCTTCCAATTAGAATAGGGAAATTGAATGTGTGGAACATTGGGGATGACATTTTAAACACCACACCATTCCTTATGATAATAAATCCAGAGTCTCCAATATTGGCCACATGGAAAACCTGCCACCATTTAACATTACTTATAAGCAAGCGCCTAAATAAATTGTTTTGGTAAGGCTTAATGTAATCGTATGTATGTGCACCATAAAAATTCCACAAGAAAGTAGAGACACAATCCCACGATCTTGAAATAAAGTCTTGTTTGAACAAACACTGTTAAAATTCATGTATTTTGTTAAAAATACACTGAGAAGTTACCTACTACCTCTATCCCTATTTAAACTTCTTGTTCATTATTCATGCCGTCAACTGAACTCTCTCTTAACCTTGAAAAATTGAATTATATATATCCAACTTTATCATTTTTGAATTCTGATTTTGCGACTTTATAAAACCCATAGTGTAGTATCTCAATATATAAAGCTTTATTATTAAAAATAACTCAAATGTTGTCGGGGAGGATTTAACTTTATCTCAAGTCTCAACCATCGTAAACCGCAACTGGAAGTTCTTCAAGGGATGGAGAGGGTATTAGTTAATCCAACAAACATACAGCACTAACAACAACATCCAAACCTTAGTCCCAATAGAGTTTTGGGTTGGCTAACATGAATTGACATATGAAATCGGAGTTAAAGTTAAACCAACAAACTTGTTTTACAAAAAAACATCTATAAAGTTAATGATACTCCGTATGTATTAGTTGTACCTTGTACCAAAGTTAAATTTGCTTTTTTATACTGTTCTTTTGTAGTTTTCCCTTTTCAAATCTCATTGTCTTACTGCTTACCAAGGGTCTTAAGAGAAAGAGACTATCTACCTAGGTGCAGGGGTAAGGTCAGCATACATCTCACCCACACAAGGCCTATTTATGAGTGAGATGGAGTGGTATACTGTGTAATGTCTGTGTTTGGTTTGATTAGTAGTTTTACCTGATACCAATTTAGAAAGACGTGTCTTGGTCAAACATGAATGTTTTCTTTTCAGCAGGGGGTAGTATTTGATTACATTGCATTATATGTTACTACGATCTTCCAAACTACACCCTGATCCATATCATTCTTGTAGCTTGCTAGTCCAAACTATCATGATATGAAAGCTGAAAACTGTTCTAGTAATACCTTATACTCCCTTTACCTAGAAAATGATTTATACCTGACCATCAAAGTGTGCAATCAAAGCTGTCGAAGAACCTGGGGACTCTACACTTTCCATGCTCAATTCAAGAACTGCCTTAGGGCCAATTCCTAAATCACCGCCACACTGCAATATAAGCTTTTCACAACACTCCATCAGTTCTCTGGAATATACCCCTGGATAAATACCTGAAGTGATAGAAATTGAATAAGGGCCCATTTGGTGATTACTAAAATGGCTGAATCTGGCTTGGTTAAAGCGTTTGGTTTATTGGGAGAAATGGTTGGTAGATGTGTCATTACCTAAAGAGTATGAAACTTTTTTATTTGAGGCATTACAAAAAGGACAAAATTGCTACTTGCTTGTAAAAATGAGAACCATCCAAAAAAGTGGCAAGACAACGATTGTTGGCTGAAAAACCAAATCAGCCAAATGTTGGAGCATTTGGTGCTTTTTGGTAATATTTTTAAGGCTTGTCACCCCATTGTATTATGAAATAGGATTTTAATTACATGATCCAAAGGAGATTTGAGGTAAAGAATGCTAACAAGAAAAGTGTGCAACAAAGGACGTTATCAACGAATACCTTCAAGGGACCACTGACCAACTCCATCAGCTACACCTAGCCAGTTCTGATCAGTCACAAAATATGCATCCTCTCCACCTGTAAATGCCTGGAATTTATTATTTATTTGCATTACTTATATTGCTTTAATGTTGTCAATGGATCTTTGATCATCATTTCATTGAGACTATATAGAAGGTGTTCTTCTGAAATTTTAAAAACATGGAGCATCATACATTTTTAGTTCATATATGTGAAAGAATTACCTTAGAGGGGTGTGGAAATAAAGCAGCACCAGATGAAAGCACCAACTCTGTCGTTTGAATGGCACTACTGCTTAGCAAAGACAGCATAAGTATGATTAATACTATTATTATAAAAGTTGTTCTTATACAGACGAGGCCGGCAGATCCATGTTGAAGGAGTTGTATGTTGCAATTATATTAGGTTGACTCGCTAAAAATTGGAAAATATCAAAACAAAATTGAAATATAGAGAGGAGAAATGATCATGTCAGGCTCCCGTACTTCATGAAGAACATTCTCACAAAATTTCATCAAAAGATTCGACCAGGAAGCCCCTCAACAGGCTTGGATGTACAGGACATGTCAGGCACGCCTGACCAAATCATTTCTGATATAGATAGTAATAAACACTTTCTGAATGATATTGTAACTTTATAATGTCGTGCTGATTTACGGATTATTATAGACTTGCAGTCTTGCATATACGAAGTATTTCGTATATCATAGTTCCCATTGGCTATAAATTTTGAAAGTCAACTGAAGTCCATTATCATTAACTATATACAGGAGAAAAATGATGATATAAATACAGAATAGGGGTAATTTGAAAAACTATCTAATACCATCTATTTTTGGAAGTATATATAAAAGCTTATTATTAACAAGGAATCTTGAATAATAGAAGCAGATAGGGAGAAAGTGAGCTATTATATATACATACTTGGTTAAAGATTCTCCATTGAAATCCACCCCAGCCATTCCATGGCCTGATGATACTTCTGTAGGCTCAATGCAGTCATTATCATACGCATTGTATTTTCCATTATTTGGAGGTTTGGAATAGTCTGGAAATCCTCTTGTTTGGTGACTAGAGGAGCTTTCGAGCAATTCCTCGTCTGAATAAATACCTCTTTCTAAAATACTATAGCTGCCCTTACTCCTACTTACTAGTTCTGACTCAGACACATTAGTATCATTTGCTGCATAAGTTAAGAAGCCCTCTTTCCGTTCCACTTCCTCAACAACTTCTTCTTTCTCCCTATTTCCCTCAACCACATTAAGTTCTTCCGCATCCTTTCTTTTATCCACTTCCACCAACCAACTGTCTTCTGCCAGATCCCCGAACCGGAATAGGAAACTACCATCATCATGTTCTGTCCCCCCCCAAAAAATAAAATACCTCAGCTTTACTTTCTTTATTGAAAAAACCCCTCAACTTTCTCGTGGGATGCATTTGAAAAAATGGAAGCGATGGAAAATACAAAAGGAAAGCTAAGAAAATATACCATGGGTTGAGACGAGTTCAGCATATTGGGAATTGGGTATGCAAAAGAATGTGATTTGAAGCAGTTTTCTTCTTCTTCGTCTTCGAGATCTTCCAGTTTGTATGCTTCTCGAAAGAGCTGAGAGTGGAAGAAAGGGTATGGGAGAAGTATAGACGGCGGAATAATTGAGTGGGATTGGGAAGTAAGCTACAGGTTTGGAAACGAGACCAGCCATGGGGTTTTCTCTCTTTACCAGCTAAACCATTTGGTTAAATTGTTGCCAATTCGTATTAAAAATTACATTTAAGCACTACTGTGTTTGTTTTTAGTACCCTTTCCTTAGGGTATGTTTGGAGTTTGGAGGGAAGGGGAGGGGAAGGTTTAGAGGTATGTTGTTGGAGGGGAAAGGGAGGGGAGGGTGAGGAAGCCCTTCTTTGTATTTGGGAGTAATAAAATTGGAAGGAGAGGGTTTTTGAAGGAATTATAATCTAAATCACTTTGAGATATGACGAATTCAAATCATTGAGCTGATATTCGTTTCTAATTTAGCTTAAATTACCGTATTGTTAATTATCCTCCAAAACCCTCCAAATTGGGGAACTTAAAAATTAAGCATTTGGAGGGTTTTGAAGGGTTACAAAAGCCCTCTGAAACCACCCCTCCAATTTTTTAAACTCCCAAACATGAAAAGGAGGGTCATAAACCCCCATTAACCTTCCCCTCCCCTCCGAAACCCAACTCCCAAACACACTCTTAAAGATCGTATGCACCCGGTAGTAAAATTTTAGGAGTATAATTAATTTTAGTTAGATTTGAAATTAAAAACAACTTATAACGTAACACATGACTTAAAATAGGATTTTTCATAAGCAAATCCACACATGAAGACCATTTCTCACTTTGTTTATATCATGACATAATAAGTCATGTTTGAATATTTTCGTATGCAGAATCGGAATGGCAAGCTAACATTTGAACGCGTTAAGAAATACTTGTGAATTACCATTGTTTTTCCCGCACTAACCCTTGTTAAAATCCTTCCTTATACAAAAATGCTTTGCCAGTACTTCACAAATGATTTTACCAAATAATTTTTTCATTTTCAAAGGTTTATATAAATTTATTGAAGGTAAATTTATAATGACTAAATTCAGTTGCTTCAACCAAAACTTTATCAATTTCAGCTGATTCAGCTAATTTTAATACTTCATATTACTAAACATGTTCTTAATTTACGTCCCGGACCTATTACACTATAATTTACACACACGTCATTTATAGGGTTTGATATTTCGTCTTATCAAACTCGGCTAACTCTCGAGCGTGAACTCATCTTCCTTGCTTAACCATCCACCTCTACTACTTTTAAGGGTTTTTTACATAAATATTACTAAAATAAGTCATATTTACTTAAATATGACTATTCATTACTACAATGTGGTGTTGTGTTAACTTAAACTTAAAACTTGAACATGAATTACTATGATTTCATTACTACTCTAGTCATTGGTCATATTTTTGTAAGTCATCTTTATTTTGGTCATATTTATGTAATTATTTCTACTTTTAAACCGAATACAAATGTAACCCTTTTACAAAGTTTCCAGAAAACCCTAGCACACACATTAGTTGGACAAAATTGATTCCCAAAGTTTCGATCAATTTAAATCACCAAAAGCAAAGTTTCGTACCATTTAAACATTGAAAGTTAATGATTTGTTCGAGCTTCATAAGGATAAGTCAATTGTATACTTCAGCAATTTAGTATCAGACATTTGATTATATATTTAGTATTATGGATGTTTTTACTTGGACATCAATTTTTTGATCTGGCCTGATCTGATCTATTCTTGTTTAATCTGATCTGGTAAACGTCTCAATGTCCAATATATGTGTATTTTATGACATTCTAAGTCTAGACTAATCTAGTCTGAGATTGAAAAGAGTCCAAATAAAAACATCTCATGTCATCATATATAAATAAATACGTATATGAAATAATCTAAAATCACTTAAAAATATTCGTCCAACCCTAGTAATTAATATCTCCATACATTACAATCAATCTACTTAATTTTATAGCCCAATAACTAAGGTTTAGCCCGAGCAAAAAAGCCTACGCTTTAAAGTCTAAATACCATTCTTGCCCCTAGGTATTCACAAATGGTGTTTAAGCTTCAAAGTACATCTTCTTGCACCCAACCTTTGGCACCGTCACGCACAACCGACATCTCGCACCTCTAATTATTGTTCCGACTTCCGACGAACCCATAAAACCTCATGCTTTATTCTATTCGAAACAAAGTTTATTCGTCAACTACATTATTTGACTGATCTAAGACAACAATCCGCACCCTCGTAGATCCGATATCAATATGCATACATATTTGCTGACCGGCAAGGCTATCTATTCAAATACATGTTTCTTATCATTTTCTATTTGTAGATCTTATTTTTGATAAATTTTTCTCTATAAATGCATCGTATTTTCGAATGAAGCTCAAATAGAAGGCTCAAAACCCAAGCTTTCCATTATCGGAAACTTCAAGCTGATTTTACTATTCCTCTTTGTGAAACCCGCCATATATTCTTTTTAAATTTGATACGGTTTAAGATATATTTTGCAAATTTCGAGTAAAGTTGCAACTTAACAAATAAATTATTATTACATCAGGCAAATTCTTTATACTTAAATGACAAATGTCGACCTGTTCTAAAAACATTAACCAAGTCGATGTATTGAAAATCATATAAAAAATGGAAATAAGGTTTTAATAACCAATTTCTATTTCGATTTAGTGCCAAATTGTGTGATCACATCAAAGTAAACAAACTTAATTATATTAATTAAATAAAGCAAAATCTTATTTAATCTTTCACATCAGTGTGTGTAACTGCTGGTTCTAAAAAGATTTCTATCAATTTATCAATCTTCATGAAAGAATATAAGTCATATCAATAGACTCATTAATTCTTTAATAAGTCTTCATCAACCTTTTCAAATATTTTTACATTCTTATCACAGCGTTTATTTTACTTCATCAATATTTGATACTACGTATTAGTCTTTTACATTGTTTGGAAGACAACTAAACTACTTTGTGACCATTATTTATTATATTGAAATAAATAAAACATTCACCAAAATATATAGAAGAAGACTTCGTTTATACTCAACAATTCAATTCAAACTGTTTAAAATGATAAACCTCTTGAAACATATCAAGTTAATATAAAGTGTTTTGCAAATCTATCAAGCATATTCTAGACATTACACATTATTTTAAATATTTTTTATCCAGGATTTAATGGCCTAGCTAAGCTCTTTTATTGTATTCGCTTGCAGACGTTGGATAAAACCAAGACTAACTACACTAAACAAAAAAAGTAATACTTCAATTATATAAAATTAATTTTAACCGGTGTTAGAAGATGCTAAACAGGTCCTCTTAAAACTGATTGTTGTAGACTCTGTACGTTTAAGCATTGTTTACGTTGCAATCAAGAACATATTTCTCTTTATCTTGGAGTAGCTACAAATAATATATTCCGACCATTACTATTTTATAATGGGAAATTACCCAAAATAGGACTAAATGAGGTTTGGAATTCCAAAATATGACTACTGTGTTTTTCTTCCCGAAATAGGAGTTGTTACTGCCATGTATGAAAAATTTTGTCATAATTGAAAAATACGGTCATTAATCACAATTAATACTGTCATGTTAAATGCACTGTACTGCAACTATTTGGTAGTCACGCCTACAAGATGACATTAAATATTGTCATGTTAGTCCTATTTCGAGAATAAAAACATAATAGTCCTATTTTGGAATTCCAAACATCATTTACTCATATTTTAGGAAATCTCCCTTTTATAATTTGTGTTGCAAAAAGATTATAACAACCCTGAGTCACAAACATACCAAAAACATAATTCATAAGTATAATTATGTAGACATTTAAGATGCTCAAACTAATAAACGCTGGTATTATAGATCTAACCAAGTTGTGCTCCAATTTTTTATTCATAATCCCAGAGATTTTGTAATGTAAAGTTTGTAAATCTCTATGGTTGGTGAGTTTGTTATTGAACCTATAAACTCACCAACCTAAGTTTGTTATTCACCGGTACATTCTCACCACAAAATATTATACTAAGTATCAAAGGTGATAAGATGAAATTGGACTAACAATATTTATTTCTAAATATTTATAGAAGTAATAGTCCTAAATAGGACTAAATTGTTGCTGAAATTCCAAAAGAGAAGCATGTATATTTTTATTCCTTAAATAGGATTAGTGTTCTTAATTTACCCTCCCTTTAATCTAAATGTTTCAAAACATGCGCAACTTCTCCTTTATCTTCTACGATGCTCCCATTCTCCTTCATCTTCTGCAACACGGAGCTTCTATGTCAGGCACCAGCAGAGAACTTCGAGGTGAGGCAGCGGCAGCAAGCAGCGAGCAACGACAGTGAGCAGAGGGGACCAACAGTGAGCGTCGTCGAGCAACGATGAGAAGCGGCGGAGCATCTGTGAGCATCCAAATCCGGTGGCCGATTGGAAGTAGCTCATTGTTCTTCTTCTGTCATCTTCTTCTTCCTTGATTTATGTTGGTTTTCTTGTTTTCTCCTCCTCTTCGATTTCATAGCAAATCTCGTTTCTTTTTTTTTTTAAAAGGCCAAATTTTGTTTCAAAAATGCCATCAAGTTGGCAATATTACTTTGGAAATGCCACTAAAATGGCATTCTCGATTTATGTTTGGCATTCTGATAAAAAATTTGGCATAGGCAATGGACAATTGGACATATCTGCATTGGTGGAGGTCAGTTTAGCAGCGGCGCCAATGGCCAAATCTACAGGGGCAGCAACCGTATCTACAGGGGGCCATATTTGCTGAGGCAGCGGCTGGATCTGCTGGGACGGCGGTCGACAGCGGCATCCGACAAGGGAGACAGATCTGCAGCGGCGACGGCCAAATATGAAGTGGCGGCAGGCAAATCTACATCGGTGGTCAATTTTGAGGCGCCGGCAAAGGACGACCTGCGGTGGTCCAGCATTCTGCCACCAACAATATGTTTTCCCAAGTTCAGTGTTATTTCTGTCCAATTACAAATAAGAACTCCTATTTAGGGATTTTTTAAACATTAGTCCTATTTTGGCAATTAAGAATTTATTTACTCCTATTTAGGTAAATCCCCCCAACTTTTTATGCATTTTAAAGACCGCTCTCCAAAAACCAACCAATCACCCATACTGTCCTTAAGTTGAGCAGTGTGTACATTCATAGCCAATGCCACAATGGATACCGACTAGCCAAAGAGAAAAACTTCAAATAAATAATGTGATTACTCCACACATATTACATGGTAAAGAGTCTAAAGAGACCAAGGAAGCACAAGGTAGTCCGACCACGAAGATTAAAAAAATAGTCATTAGTTTCCTGTGTTCATGTTATCATGTTTAACTTTATGTATTGCGTGCAAAGAAAAAAGAGAACACTTCGTACTGCAATTCTCATATTTTGGTCTATGGTCACCCAATCTTGGACAACCTCGACATTCTCTCAATATTGAATCTGTGAAAACAGACCTTAAGATGTGGCAACAGCAGCATTTGTCTTCGATTTCTTGGGTGGTGGATTGCCCCCAGAAATAACCACATATACATAAAAGCACAACATTGCAGCACTGTTGTTGAAAGTATGGGGGAAAGTGTTAGACAATTATATTAACATAATGATAGAACCAGATAATTCTGACTTAGAATTGTAGAGAATCACTAAGAAATTGATCAAGAAGGAAATGAAGAAAATGTTTATTGATGAACAATGTGTTTACGGAATGAATACAATGGACAATTCGAGATGCCCAATCTCCCAGCCTATTCTCAACAGAATATTTGTCTACCTATCCTTCCCCCCCTTCCTTACTATTTATAGTATTTCTATTTCTATTACAAGCCCACTTATTATTATCTACAATAATAGGCCCATTCCTATCAATACTCCCCCCTAAACAACCACCTTGTCCTCAAGGTGGGGAGTAATAAACAGGCATGCTATTCAACTTCATCTTGGCACCTCTGCCTTCCCAATATTTCCTGGATTTCTGAGCTAGGAGCTCCACTTCTTGAACATTCATCATCACTTCCTCTTTCATATGGATTAGTTGCTGACAAACTGGTAAAACAGCTCTGACCAGGTCAACGGGTGTTGGTGGCTGGTCTTGACAGAAGTTAAACAAAATCCATGTAGTGTTTCTCATCATAGAAAGCTTTTCAAGCTCATTCAACTGTCCTGAAGATGGTAAGAGTGAGTCATGACCAATACCCAGGTCCTTACAGGTTGAATCATCACCATCAAAACCAAATAATGTTGTAGATGCTAGAGCTGCATGCCTTGCTTCTGTAAGAACCTGCCATTTGCCTCTCAAACAACTTTCACTAATTCCAGTAACTCTCCAGAAATTTATGGCCAGTTTATGCATAATATCAAGCTCAGTAGATGCATTGTTTTTATCTACACAGGAAACCTGTCCAATAAGATCAATGGCTTTTGCGACCCCACACAATCTTCCCCTCTCACCATCCCTGCGTAATAGACTTGGAATCATACTGGCTGAATCAATATCAGTTGATAATACCATTCTATCTGAGGTTTCAAGATCTGCAGTCATCAGATCAACAACTAACAAACTGCCACCCACCAATACACATGTCACTATGTTGGCTACAGCCTTCATCCATACCTCGTTTAGGCCCTGTGCAGCTTCAACAACTGTCTCTTCGAATAAAGCAGGCTTTGAAAGTGAGCTGGCATCGGCCTCAACATTTGCTGCGCCTTCCTGATTATCTGGTGGTCGTCCCGGGGGTTGAATATCATCATCCTTCATTTCCATAAACGTGTAATGAATGCCATAGATAGCAGAGAATGTGGTACTGGTAATCAACTCTTTAGAACATTTACCATTAGGAACTCCAGGAGCAGCTTGCCCCGACTTCAGAGAAACAGTTGTAAGTTTGAATGTACCAATTCCTGTCCCGGCTAGGAAGGATGGTGATTGATACATTAAAGGATAGAGCCCAGTTGGAAAGACAAAAACATCAGGCCCCGTAGTCATCACAGCCTGATCTGATTTCCACGCCAGTGCTTGAATCCTCCTTCCCTGAGTTTTATCTGTGACTTTTCCCTGCTCTTCCAGTTTCGTTGACAGCTGATCCTTCGCTTTACCCGCATGAATTCCATTTTCATCCATCTCAGGGGGTTTCGTACCTTCATGATGATTTGAATCATCATCTGGATTTGGTTCCTTGATTACAGCTTCAATTGACTTCAACTCGATCTTCGTTATCGAATGTGTAGTCTCCAACAATCTAATTCCAGGATCAGTAATGTAAGTGGCTCTCGAAGAAGAAGAAATTTTCGCAGGAGAATGAACCTCTTGAGACAACACTTGCGCAGTTGGCGACACGACTTGCGAAGAAGAAAATTCTTCTCTCGGTAGCGTCGCATTCTGACGCGAGTGGATAGTCGATGGGAACGCCTGCGGCGTGAATTGCGAACTGAGAGTGTGAGTTTGCGATTGTGAGCTGGTACTTGGGTTTCGCGACTGCAATCTTGTTTCACTTGAAGAAGAAGTTTGCGAGTGTGATTGCGAAGACTTCTGCGAACGTATGAGGAATTCCGATGATGGACTGTAAGAACAAACAGTATTTCTTGGCGAAGATTCTTGCGAACTGGAATGATGCGTGAGTGTCGAACTGTGCGACCTATGAGAAGTTGTACGCGAAGGGGCCGGTGAACTGCGGACATCTGTTCGCGGTTGAGAATAGCCCTGCGCAAGTGATGAGGTTTGCGAATTAAGCAAAACTGTTCGCGATCTTCTTCTTGCCCGTAACTGTTCTTCCATAGCAGCTAGCTTACTCGCGAGGTTATCCATCTTTAACTTCACCTCTTGCTGATTCCGCTCCAGCGAATCCATGCGCTCCAACGATTTCAGTCGATGATCCATTTTGCCTCTCGTTCGAACGGAAAAAAAATCTGGATTTCTGTACTTCTCTGATCAATTCTGTAACTACCAGGAGCGTAATGCTCTGATACCAATGATAGAACCAGATAATTCTGACTTAGAATTGTAGAGAATCACTAAGAAATTGATCAAGAAGGAAATGAAGAAAATGTTTATTGATGAACAATGTGTTTACGGAATGAATACAATGGACAATTCGAGATGCCCAATCTCCCAGCCTATTCTCAACAGAATATTTGTCTACCTATCCTTCCCCCCTTCCTTACTATTTATAGTATTTCTATTTCTATTACAAGCCCACTTATTATTATCTACAATAATAGGCCCATTCCTATCACATAAGAGCATTCACAAAGAAATTGGTGAAGTTGCTGAAATTGAGCCTCAAACTGCTTCTGGAAAACATTACTTCCACCTTTTTTAGTTGTTCCACTTTTCTCCTATAGTTTTTAATCAAAAAAAAATACCAATGACCTTATTTAATCAAAATTGTGATTGTAGACTGACAGTTTTGCCCTCTCCAAATGCGAGGAGGGCTAAGCAAATTTGAGTCCACACTGAGGAACCTAACCGGACCTGAACCGATTACATAATGCTTCTCTGTCATCTTTGGTCTAACTTTTTTTAAGATTTCACTGCTGGTCCAGACTGGTAGAGCTGGAATTTATTTGCATAATATTTATCTAGCTTATATCTAGTTGTACACAACTTTCAAATATGAACTTTTATACTTTAAGAGCAATGCCATTTTTTAAAAAATAAATACAATTCAGGTCCAATGCTGGCTTGGTCCAATCAAAGCCAGAATCGTCTCGTCCAGTCCATTCCCTGATCAGAATTTTACAGGTCTACGTCTAGTCCTCGATGATGAAGGAAAGAGCAACTTAAAAGAGACTGAGAGAGTATTAAAATTAACTGCATGTTTTCTTATAAATTTTAAGGCAATAATAACTACGGAGTACTAATGAGATAGGAAGAAGTATCACTTTCGCTCATTTCAGCAACTTTAGCCAAAAAATCTTTTTGCATTACTTTTACACTATGGGTCATCCGGAAACAGTCTCTCTGTGCTTTAGTACAGGGGTAAGACTGTGTACATCCGACCCCCCCTTACCCCACCGTAGGTGGGAGCCTTTGCGGCACTGGGGTAAATGAAAATGAAAATGAAAATGATTACTTTTGCTCACCAGCAAGCAAATCAACCCAAAGAGAAATACTCTCTCTAAGTTGGTGTTTGGTAAGAGTCTGGCAAATAAGCAGAAATAAGACATCAACACGATGCACTAAATGCAACAAGAAACCATACCTTAAGATAGCATAAAAGCCAGTTGGGAATATTTTCTTAGTCTGCATGGAATACCACTTCCCAATCAACTAAAGCATAAGTTGGCAATATTAAGTCTCAAACATTATATAAAGTATTGCAATACCAATGAGTAAGACAGCATATTCTTCTGTAAAAGAGAACCAGCAAGTACTGCATGTTCAAAAGTGTTACGAAACAATAACAATCAGATTAATGGTACAACAAATACTCGCACATACCAATCATAACCCCAATCTAATTGTGTTGATGAATAGATTCTCATTGATATAATCAATGCAGAAAAAAAATTAGATGAAGGATGTTAAAAACATCATTCTCAACCAGATATGCATACACATTAGCATCCAATAAAAGGATCAGCGGCTTAGAATTGGTAGAATTGCAAATTAGGGAGTTTTCATTTGTTTTTAGTACAGTAATTCTCATTGTGGGATAATTCTTTCCACATATTATATTCCATCTTGATCCTTGCAGTTAAAAGTTTTACTGCCATTGAGGTTAAAAAAAAGGTTCAGCGGCTTTTAAAAATCAATGCCATACTGTCGGCTAATGGAATAATAGGTACAACAGATAAAATTAAACAGAAACAAAGAATCATTTTGTCCGACAATGTAAATGAGCTCTAAGAGACTTCATAACGCAGTTCAAAAGTTTAGGCACACATCTGAAGCCACTCCAGAAGCGTGACGTAATTACAAGAACAATGAGTCAATATTTACTACCTAAATCATGATTCCCAGTTCCCACACTATGCCTCAATTACAACAGATATCTTGACAATTACTCCGTCCATCCCATTTGAAGGTTACCATTTGAAAATGACAAAGTTTTTAGGCTAGTAGTTAAGTGAAAAATTATTTAAAGTGTAGTTTGAGAACTAGTTGGCATGGGTGGGCATATAGTCGAATGGGGTAATTGATGATAATGGTGTTGTTATTGGTGTATTTGATTATAATGTTATCATTTGAGGCACTTAACTATTTCCTAAAATGGAATGTGAATCGTGATATGGGATGTCCATATAAGGCAAGTGAGAACCTTGAAACGGGAAGGATGGAGTACATACTTTGAAAGTAATACTCTGTAGAGTTTAGTTTAGAGCATCCCAAATCAGAAAAATCCAATTGTGTAGAGCTGTGGGAGTAATTCAAGCGCAGTGATATAAAAAAAAATCTGCAATCCTAGATTCCCAGGTTTTATGACTCCCTCCGCTTTACAATAAGTACCCCTCTGGAGGAAATAATGCTATTTGAGGAATCGTTAAAAGGATTTTTTTACAATATAACAACTCTCAAAATACTCTTGTATTTTTGGATACATTGTTTTGGTTTTATAAAGAAGTGTAGAAATGAGAAAAATCGTGAAACATTATCTTATTTTATAAAGCAGCACTTATTGTGAACAAAAAAAATCCTCCAAAATCACACTTTTTGAGAAGCTGAGAGATTAAAAAACAAAATAGTAGTAATTAGCTTTGTGTCTATTATGCATTCATGAAGTGCTTTCTCTTCACTAAGAGCCTAAGAAAAAGTACAACATACATGAATTCAAAACATACAACATATTAACAACACCTGTTTTTTGTTGTGGTTTGGTCATAGAAAATGATATTGAGGAACATATTTTAAAACATGTCCAATACCCATAACATGTTTTAGTAGTCAAAGTAATCAATTATCATGTTATCCTCTGCTTTGTACCAAAGAAAGGCAGGATTCCTTGTCCATGCATAGGCGCCCCATTTCATATTGACTGGCTTTCAGTTGATAGTGGGTTGGAGTTGGACAAAAATGTGGGGAACACAAATGAAGAATCTTGGCTTTCCGATATGAAACCAGACAGTGAGGGGAGAAAGCCACTGTGCCTTATTTTGGTACAAGGCAGAGCCAAAGGATCCACAATTATTGGCAGCGGAAAGCAATACCTGCTTGGCCTAGTATAAATGGCAGGCTTGATTTTCCTTGCCTCCACACCTTCAAGCTAATACTGCTCAGAGCAAGCAAAGCACCTCCATATAGAACACCATTACCTAGATTAACAATATTTCTAGAGAAAGCAAAACCAAGTAGTCCCCCGCATAGAACAAAACCACCTGCGAGAACAGTTTTCCATTAAATAAAAGGCTAATAAGTAAAAAAAAAGTGAAAATAAGCTTTGATAATGAGGAAATGGCCTTTGAGGAAAAAAGTGCTCTTGTTTTATTACACACATGTTGCAGACAACCTAACAAGTAAAAAATATTCCAATTTGTGGTTATTTCCGTTCTTCTGGTGATAAACTTATTCAGCACATTACTTCTATAGTTCTATGTGAGGAAACTGCTGAAACTACATACTAACTCTCCCATTTACCAAAAAACATGCATTACCCCTTGAATCTATAATGAAGGATGAGGTTACAACAAACAGGAACAGTTGAGTGTCTCATCTTGCTAAAATCGAGAAATTACGAGACCGAGGGGGTGTATGGATCTCCTTCTTAAAACTCCTTCTACTCCTTCAGGGAGCAGAATCAGATATAGAATGTTTGGGTGAAAGTGAAGTACTTCTGGGTGCTCCAAATTACTCCTAGAAACAGTTTTATAGACCTTGGGAGAGACCAGCTTCTGAAAAACTGCTTCTGAAAAACTGATTATGATTCTGCTTCTGCTTTAAAAAAAGAAGCAGCAGCAGAATCGATTCCAAACACCCCAAAATAAAGATTTTCACTTTTGAAATGAAATTCCTACATAATTGGTTTACTTACCGAAGGGGATTCCGAAACAGAAATCATGAATTTTTGCAGCCCTTTTAGGTTGAGAGGAGTGATTTTCCCCTACCAGCTCATTTGTTTCTTGTAGTCGCTCACTCAAAGTATTTCCAGTTACAGCTTTTTCTTTAGCTGAAAGAGAGTTTTCTGATCTATTATAGCTCAGAGTAGCCCTATCATCTACACTGGATGAATCCGCCCCACGCCCATCATTACTCATACATATTAAAACCTGAAGACAAAGTGATGTAAGAAGTTAAAATTATGTATCTTAAACTAAGAAAATACGTAGTATAATGCAGCCAAAATCGGCATTCATATTGTAGGCGTGTTAACAGGTGCAGAAAGAAGTTCAAATTCAAAGCATCCGTCAATCATAACTCAAACTCACACTTAGGTTTTATCTTGATTTCCGTGCAAATCAGCACATTTTAGTTGTTCGTACTTCTTATGAAGTGAATTTACCACTGATTACGAATTACATATGTTTGATTTGTGAAATGATAATAAAATAAGTAAATAACGACAAGAAACAATAAGCAAATGGTCAGGACCTTTAAAGTTCGATTTTGGGGCGTCATTGGATAAACACTGTCAACATCACAGGAAAGGAAAAACGTTTCAGAGAACGATAAGAGATCACAAACCTTGTTGCGAGGAAGCCGAGGAGAAGGAGGCGGAAAGAATTGTGGATGGAGCTGAGGACGGAGACTTAAGGAAGAGTGGTAACAGAGCTTAGAAATTGCCGAAGACGACATAGCTACTGGGTTTCTCGATGATTATGCAGTGGTGGAGCTAGAAAAATGGCTTCGAAACTCAACCTATATACAAAATGAAAATTGAGGGTTGTTTTTAAATAATGTCCGAGTTGAATATTTCATATGCAGTTTAAATAATAGACACTCGTAGCAATAAGGTAGATTGTCTTTGCTTTGTGTCTGAGTCGAGTCATATAAGTATTGAGTGAATTATACCCTATTGATGGAGTATATGGCCCAGGAACCCCGGCTCACATACTTCCACTACTACGAACAGGCCCAACAGGCCCAGTGGATCAAACACATCAAACAAGACTCCGGACGGCCTCTGGTACGTACGGCCTTTGACACATGAAGGCCCCGATACGTACGACCTCCGGCACAAAGGCTACCCGGATACGTATGGCCTCCGGGCTCCGGCACATAAAGGCCTCCGCGTACATACGGCCTTCGGCACATGGAGACCCCGGGGACGTGTGATCTTCATATTTTGATTAAATTAATATGTCTGTCATCTTTATTTTGATAACAGGGACATCATATTGTGTTAAGGATTTGGCCTAGGCCCACCCTGACATAGCTCGTCCTACATTGTATATTTTAATGATTTTGTAAGTACAACTAAATGAGGAATGTTTACTCCTTTTCTCCTCGTCTTCACTCGCTTTAAGGAGTGGGGGACCGAGGGACTTACTATCTCCAAGTAAGCAAAGGACGAGCAACAGAGAACGATGAGCCCATATCAGGCGAAGCTCATACAAGAAGAACCTGAGCCCATATCAGGTCGTACCCATACATAGTATTGTTGTCTAAATCCAAAGCGAATTAAATGTTTCCTGATTGTCTCTATTGATCGGAATGAATTTACGTTGGCACAATCCACACAAGGACAGTATAACTCATCACAACCAGTCAACGATCTATATTCTAAACCACGTTTACAAAACTCAGCTACCCCATTCATAAATTCCAATGTGTTCCGTTTACCGTACATCCAGCTTCACTCATCTTTACAAATAAGAAAGATTTTTTTCTTAGAATAAAAAAAAGATATAATTTAGGGATGAATACAAATGAATTAAGGAAGATGAAAAGGATAATTGGTTGTTAATGGAAATTAACCAGGTAATGAATACAAATAAGTTAAAACTTTGAAAATTATTTTCTTTTTTAGAATTGAATTTCAATATAGAAATAATAAGGAAAAATCGTAAAGGAATCAGTATTTAAAATTGATTTTAACTATCTTCATAGAGGATTTAACTTTATCCTAAGTTCCTTTCAATAAATAAACCTTGTCATAAGTTGATCTTAAAAACGTAAATTTCAAATCAATTTGAGATTGTATTTCAGAATCAATAATACAATCAATAAGTGCCCTAGCCTAAATTGTAGGAACCAAGCCGGGAGGCTCTTATCAATAATACTAGCCAGGCACGCGCCATGCGCGAGAGTATGTGCCCAATCCAAGTAATCTGATTTTTAAGTGTTGACTGAATATTGAAACGTAGAGAAGGCAGAAATATGAGTTTAGGACAGAAAATTCAGAATTGATTTTAAAGAAATGGTCAAGGCACATATCACAAAAATTCAGAATATGTGAAAGACAAACACTCCTGTTAAGAATTTGGCAAGACAATAAAGAGAAAGTGTGACGCCCATGAAATAATAGCCTGCCAAGTCTGGGCTGCATCTTTCACAATATCCTCTTCTATCGCTAGTGTGTTTGTCAGTAAAGATCCTTCAAGCTAGCTGAGAGCTTGGAGAATCATATAACCCTAGACTCAAGGAAACACGTATCATGAAAGCATATAACCCGAGTTTCATGAATGTGAATCAAGCAGTGTGCACTAATTCCACACGAGTTCAAAAAGTCTAGTTATTCATTCATTCTCCCAAAAGTTGGCACTATAAAAATTAAAAACAGCTTATCATCATCAATGGGAAAACTAATTTCAAAATTTTGTAGTGTTAAAAACAACTTTTCATGGAACAAATTCACACGGTTTAAATTTATAAGCCATATAATATGATCTGTATTAAAAATTGTATCTAAAAAGTGTATGAAAAACAAACTCATTTCAAATTGAAATATTTTGAAAAAACTACAACCGTGTTTGTTTTTCATACACTTTTTAGATACAATTTTAATAAGTTTGTCTTTCTCACACTTTTTCAATATAGAGGGGTCTTTAGATACAATTTTGACTAAATATAACATCATTTTTTCAAAATGCTACCAACTTTCCTCTATATCAAAAGTAAAAGGAGACGTAGAGATTTGCATACTTGAGCTCAAGACAATTATTTTGGGACAATTTCAAACAAAAGGGGGATCACTGGGAAAAAGCTATCTACTTTTATTTTACTATCTTTTCTTTAACAAAGTTGTACTAAGAAAATAGATTAAAAGTAAAAGGGGACATAGAAATTTTAGTTGAAATGAGTGAAATAATGTGATTCACATACTTGAGCTCAAGACATTTATTTTGGGACAATTTCAGACAATAATTAGGACATTTGTTCCAAGATGGAGGGAGCTCCATTTCATCAATGATCAGTTGTTAAACATATTAAATATCCCTCCTAAGGAAGCTCAAGTACTTGCTTCAAATCGTAGCTTGTTTAAGAAGGTGTTCTAATATACCTCATTGCAAAAGTCATTGTAAATCCACTACCTTTATAGTGGATTATAAAAGGAATCCACTATTTTTATAAAAGGATTATAAAAGGAATACTAGTATACTACACATAAAACTTCTAATAGATTTATCATAAAATCCAGCCTAAGTTTATGGGTGACTCAATTTACCAAATAGCTGAAAATCTAATTTCAATATTGAATCTAGTTTAGTTAAATGAGAGATATGTGTGGATAAAAATAGATCCAACCAAGTTAAACTCATATGTGTCAAATTGTCAATGGTATTCAAATACATCCAAAAGTGTGTATGGGTTCATCATGTGCAGCATCAACACCTCCCCAAGGATTCTTTGTTAACACACACAAAAATCATTAATAACATAAACTCAGCCTCTAAATAACATAAGCACCGTCCCTGCAAATCTGAAACAGACAAGGGTACATTTATAGATACTAATAAACCAAGGAAATAAAGAGACAACAACATATACCAGACGGAAAAAAACACAGAGGTTTGCAGCCAAAATTTCCAAATGGACTACATCGTCTAGTAAATCAATTACTAGTAAAAAACACAGAGGTTTCCAGCCAAAATTTCTATAGCTGCTGTTAATGTCTAGTAAATCAATTACAGCCACAAATGGACTACATCGCCTTCTAGATATTAGTAAAGTCAAAATGGACTTAAAGCCACAAATCAAAGAGGCAAAAAATTGAATGAATTCCAGATTTTTATTTTTTTATAGATATAACCATACTTTTGAACAAGCAGAGAATACACCATGAGCAATCAAAGAGCAACTTCGTACAGTTTCCCAATCGGAAAGATGAGTGCGTACCTTAGGGTGAGAAGAGGGATAAAACTTTTCAGAAATGTGAGGGTGGCGGCTGGATGAGGCGGCAAACTGATGGAGGAGGCGGAGGCTACTGATAGACGGAAACGGTGGTGGCTTGCGATTGGAGCGAGGTAGGTGATGGAGGAGGCCGGCGGATCTGCTGCTGCGCGAAGTAGCTGATGGCGTATATGTTGCCCTCGTACGCATAGCCATTAGGTCTCGTACCCGGCGTATATACTTTCGCACTTAATTTTTAAAATACAGTTGCTGCGGTTTGACAACGCCGAAGCAAATAACGTGAATTTTTTGCTTCAATTGCTGCGGGTCCTATAAGACAGCAGCCATGTATTTTTAAGTTATTTGCTGCGTTCGTGTTTAACCGCAGTAAATAAGGCGCAACAAGTGACGAAAATTATAGTAGTCAGACGGGAATTTTAAGATTGATTTGGAACTTAAGAATAGTTAAACATTAAGATGAGCGACTAATGTGGTTTAAATTAATAGAGATTGAGATTGAGATTTGGATTTGTTTATTTCCACTTAATGAAATGTTAATCCCTATAATCATCTTCCTCTCGAATACTCAATCGTGGAATATTTTCAATTCATCGAGAGTTGTTATTAATAATGAGACGTGTTCATTAATAAAACTTACTATGAAGTCAATACAGAACACGCGACGTATATTGACCTGATAGTAGCAATAAAACTTAAGATGAAATCAATTGAGATTGACAACCTCAACACAAGTGGTTTATTGGTTTAATCAATATAATGAATTCCTCTTAGATTATTAATCATGACACGCATGCATTAATAATCCAAGTTTACTATCGTTGAAAGGACCGAATGATAACAAGTGTATTCATCGATCGATTCTAGTAAAAATTGATATATGAAACAATATTAGCTGATCATTTAAGTAATGCTCAAATATTTATTATGAGATATAAAATAGGGATGTAATTAATATTCAAGAAAGATGATTAAAGAAAATAACTCATAATTTACAAATCATAAGCTTCAAAATGTAGCAAATTTAAACCAAGATGTAAGAGTTTAACTTCTCATTTAGAGACTAAACATGTTAAAATTATAAAGTACTTGACTAAACTGAGCTTATAAATATAAAGGAATTGGTGAATTGAATATGAAGGAAAAGAATGTATTTATAAGTGTATGGAGGTGGCAGGGTTGTGTACTCGATCGGATATATAGGGTACCCGATATGGTACCTTCAGCAGTTTCCCGGAAGCTATGAAAATTACACACACCCGACCGAGTATGTTGGTCTACCCTATCGAGTATGAGACAAAATCTTCAAATATGCTTAACCACGATCTCTTGTTCTCCGGATTTGATTTTGACACAAGAATCCGGTCAATACCCCATCGGGTATATGAACAATTTCCGGAATCTTCAATTGTTATTGTCCCTTTGCACATTCTTTGGTCTTTGGGATCCATTCTTTGATCCTTTTGATGACTTTGACCTGTTTTAAGCTCAGAATAATTCTAATCTAAACAAATTACAGATATCTAACAAACTAAAGTATTACATCAAAAGTGTGTAATAAGCATCTAGTAATATCTAACCTAGTAGGATTTGCTAAGGGATGGGAGAGAAATGATTTGAGATGATAAGCATCTAAATAATACATGGGTGGGCCTCATTTACCAATTGCCCAAATGAGACAAGAAGGGTACCTCTACCCGTTCCCTCCGCATTAACTCGACCAAGGACTTCCAAGAGAGAGAAAAGAAGCTCTAAGTTCATCCTCCATTGCTGCAAACCGAGCTCAAGCAAGGTTGGTCCAAGGAAGAGGATTGAAGAAGGAAAAAGTTAGAAAAAATTAGAAAGATTAAGGTAATAACCTTATAATAACTCTTCTCCTATTTTTATCTATCACATGACATATATATCATATGGAGGACCCCTGAAATTGTTCTACATATTTAGAAGTGTAGAATGAGGGGTTGGAAGGTAGTTCTAAGTTCAAGAACGGACTTAGAAGCCAAGGTGACCGGTTCACCGGAAAATAACCTTTTAGAGGTTATTTGTATTAATATGGGTTTTTGTGATGATAAAACCTTGTTAGGAACTTGTCTAAGGTGTTCCTAGTATTTCCACGGAGTTGGAATAATTCGTCGGAGCTTCGTCGGAGTTCAACAAAGTTCGCCGGAGTTCAACCAAGAAGGGTAGAACGTGATGGGGTTATGGGACTAGGCCCAGAGCCTAATCGGTCCAAGTCCGAACTTGGACCAGCAGGCCCAAGCCCAGCATCCCAGAGCTCGAGTCGGCCCAACCGATCAGGCCAATTAAGGAGCGGAAGCCTAAGAGAGCCTGTCGTCCAGCCCAGCGGAGAGCTTGCCTTCCAGGCCGTCGAGGAGCCTGTCTTCCAGCCCGGTCAGCGGCCTGCCTTCCAGCCCGGTCAGCAACCTGCCTTCCAGGAGCCTGCCTTCCAGCCCGGCCAGCGGCCTGCCTTCCAGCCTTACTAGGAGTCTGCCTTCCAGCCTGGCCAGGAGTCTGCCTTTCAGCCCAACGGAAGCCTGCCGCACGAGGAGCTCAAGCGTTCTGTCTGCCAGTCAGGCCGACCTGCTAGCCAACCAGAAAGAGTAACGGCCAACAATCAATGCACTATTAATTATGTATTTATTTCCGTATCAATGTTGTAATTAATTTAGTCATCATTATGTTCGGCAGTTACCATTTGTAATCGCCTATAAAAGGCAATTCGAATTTCAAATACAGATATGCTATTTCTCGCAATTAAACACTTTAAGCTTCTTTCCTTATTTGCATTATTTTCCTGATTTCCTACTTGAGTGTCGTACGTAGCTTTCCTAAAAGCCTACGAGCGTCCAATTTTGGACCAACATTGGTGCTTTCATTGAGAGCCTCTATTGTCTCGCAGTCCACACCGAGGAATCCACCCGGCCTAGCCACCAGCATGCCCCCGACAACCACAGACGAGGCAGGGGGAGGCGCGCCAAGGTGACCTTTGGAACCGGTTGTCAGGCCACGGCGACCTGAGGGTGACGCTCAACCACACCCAAGGTGAGCGCTCGGTCTGCAGCCGGCAAGGTGGAGGCCACGTCGTGCTCCGCGCATGGACCCGACTCGACTCAACGCTAGGGTGGAAGCCCTACAGGAGGCGACTCAAGTTCTGCGGGCCTTGGCTCAAAGTTTCACACAAATGGTGTCCGGAAGAAACGTGGATGAGCCTACCCGTCAATAGACGCCTGCAGATGTGGAGGTGTCCTCCAAGCGGCGTGATGGGCGACGCTCTAGATACAACCAGCACAGAAGGGAAGAAGTTTCTCAGCAGCTTAGCCGGTCCCATCGGCAGGCGGGGAGGGGCGCCCAGCAGGGGCGCTCAATGCAGATGGAAGAAGGCGGGTCCTCTCGCCATTCTCACCGTGCGAGCAACCGGACTGGCTCCATGGAAAGGCAAAACGTCGGGGGCCGACCTCACGTTCACATGCGACTTGGAGGCGCCGCTGGACAAGCCCAGCCCCGTGCTAGGGCTGTCCAGGGGAACCCACCGCCGGATGAGGTTGAAGATCTTCGACAACGCCTTGACGAGTTGAGAAGAAGGGTCGTCGGGGGGGAGCCCTACACGGCCGACCTCCGGATACCCGAACCTTTCACCCAGGCGGGCATGGATGCGGTGTTGCCAAGGGGCTACAAGGCCTTCACCATCGAAACATACAAGGGCACTTCTGCCCACCAACATCATGTATCGCGATACCTTTCCTACATGGTGATGATGGGGTACGAGGACGCTATCCGATGTCGCAGTTTCTCTGCCACCTTGGATGACCCGGCTCGTGAATGGTATGACTCTCTACCCGACGGGAGTATCACGAATTTTCGTGAGTTGGCTCAACGCTTTCTCCTGAGGTTCGGGAGCTCTCGAGACGTCAAGAAGAGCTTCAGCCACTTATTTGGTCTAAAACAGGGGAAGAAGGAATCATTGTCCACCTTCTTAGCGAGGTGGAGGACGGAGTCAGTCATGGTTCAGGGCCTTGATGACAGGACCGGGGTGGCCATGCTCACAAATTCTATCCGGTTTGGCGAGCTTTACAAAGATTTCGTCAGAAGCCCCCCTACCTCGTACAAGGAGGCGCTTGGTCATGCTGGCCGTCAAGCTGAGGTGGAGGACGCCTTGTAGAGGAAAATAGATGAGGAAGAAGGCGCAAAGGAAGAGAAGAAGAAGGAAGCTTGTTCGAGCGCCGAGAAAGTTGACGGCAAAGCCGACAACAAAAATAACAAGTACAAAGGTAACAAAAGCAAAGGCAAGGGCAAGGCGGACGTCCCGAGCGGACCGCTCATGCCCATCAAGAAATTGACTCCACTTGCTCAGCCGGTCAGGGCCATCCTCGACTACGCGGAAGAGCAAGGTTTAGTCGTCTTTCTAGAGGAGTGTGACGTGGTGACCGCCATGCGCAACCACGACCAATATTGTCGATTCCATCAGAGAGCAGGGCATGATACATATGATTGTGTCATTCTACGACGGAAAATTGAGGAACTCATCCAGAAAGGGTACCTGGGCCAATCTGTTGGCAAACAAGGAGACATCCCCGCAGAAGAGGAGCCTGAAGTGGCAGCGGTCCGACCAAGCTACCACATCAAAGGAGAAACAGCCTGCCAAGAAGCGAGAGCTCAACGCCTTCTATGAGGAAGACGATGCCGACCTAGGGGATGGCTCCCGGAAATACCATCGATGTTCATTCATATTCGAGGGACCCCAGGGAGGTGACACCTCTAGAGAACAGAAGTAGTGGGCCTGAGCCCTGTACGTCGGGGAGATAACCAGGGCTCCCGCCGACAAGAGGGTGAAGAGGGATCCAATCTTCTTCACCGACGCAGATTACCACCGATGCCTCCGCCGCACAGGGATGCCTTGGTGATCAATGTCGAAATCAACGACACCATCGTCCACCGAGTCCTGGTGGACAATGGGAGATCCGTTAACATCATGTACTACGACACCTTCTAGGGTCTCAGCTTGGACCGAAAGGACTTGATCCCGGTAAGAACCCCAATCTTGGGCTTCACCGGGGACTCCATTGAGTCAGAGGGTAGCATAGTCCTCCTCGTGATGGTGGGCTCCGAGCCCTGCGTGTCCAAGTTAGATGTCGAGTTTATCGTCATACGTCTGACTTGTGCGCATACGATCATCATGGGTAGGCTGGCTTTGGAGAACCTCAGATGTGTGATATCCCAGGAGCACCTATGCATGAAGTTCCCCACTCCGAATGGCGTCGGAGTTGCCCGGGGAGACCAGCGGATGGCGAGGAGCT